GTGGAGGCCATCGCTACTAGGTGGAGGCCATCGCTACTAGGTGGAGGGCATCGCTACTAGGTGGAGGCCATCGCTATTAGGTGGAGGCCATCGCTACTAGGTGGAGGCCATCGCTACTAGGTGGAGCCCATCGCTATTAGGTGGAGGCCATCGCTACTAGGTGGAGGCCGTCGCTACTAGGTGGAGGCCATCGCTACTAGGTGGAGGCCATCGCTACTAGGTGGAGGCCATCGCTACTAGGTGGAGGCCGTCGCTATTAGGTGGAGGCCGTGCAGGCCATCGCTACTAGGTGGAGGCCGTTGCTACTAGGTGGAGGCCATCGCTACTAGGTGGAGGCCATCGCTATTAGGTTGGAGGCCATTCCTAAAACTGGACAGGAACGAATGGAAAGGGATTGCGACAGGGGTCCTGACACTATGGAGGGCCCCAGGATTTGTGTTGGGCACGCGTGTTGGGCATCAGGCTTTTGTTGAGGAAACCAGTAGTGAGGGAGGTGAGTTGAGGTGCCAAAACCGCTGATGTTCCGGTGCTAGAGGTCCGATCACGTGAATGTAGACTCTTGATTAATAAGGTCTCCCCCCGTTGAATTGAAAGACCTCTTTAGTATGGAAGGGTTTATGCATCAAGAGTCTACATTAGGACGTCGATTCGAATTCCACCAGAGTCCGCCCGAGCCCGACGGGGTGGACACCGTGGGTCCTTTGGTTGTTTTCTTCGGTTGATCCTTCGAGGGTGTGGTCTTAGCTCGGCAAATCTGTCACTGAGGTGGGTCTGATGTTTTTTCCTCTCGTTTGGATTGAGAGGGTGTCGCAACCCAAAAGAGGTCAAACATCGGGAGCTTGCGGCAAATAGGGTTTGGAACCCTTGGAGCCCGCTTTTTCGGTCGCTCCCAGGTCGAATGATCTGTCCTTGTGCGCCAGACCAGGAGCCTTTCCTGGCGTGTGTTGGCGACAACACAGAGCAGGGAGTTTCTTGATATCTCTTCTAAATCAAAGAAGAGACGTGAAGAAAGTAATGTAATTAGACTGATGTTCAATCCAGATGGGCATTATTATTAATAAAGAGCCTACATTATTGTACAAGCTGTGAAAAACAAAAAAAACAATTGGCCAAGTCAGTGCAAGCCCGGGAATTACAATGACCCTCCCTATTTTCCAATATAAGGATCGCATGAACCCATCAAAACAAGCATTCGACAAAACGTCTTCGTCCGAGAAGTTGTCATTTCTGGATCTAGCAATCTCTCGACCTTTGATTAGTCCAAGAGTTGTGCACCATGCCCCCCAAAAAAATAAAAGGCAATGGATCTTTGTTGTTTGTTCATGTGTTTGGCATATCAGTCTATGTGCAGGTTCTTTGGCTTTGTGCAGCTTCCAAGAGTCCAATTCCACAAGAGTTGGCCATCTTGAGAAAGCTGCACTTTCCTTAGCTCAGTGGATGCTCTGACCATGCTGCGACCCTCCGACCGACACGGTCGGTGGTGAACGCCCTACGAAAAGCGACACACTTGGGGTCCGCGTTCTACTCGCTGGGAGCAGTCGGGTTCACCCCAAGAATCGTTGGACCCGCCATGGCAGGGGTCCATTGGTTCGGGCGATTGAACTAGGGCATGAAAAAACTCACAACATCTTGAATTCCCCAAAAATTTATGGATTGAACTAGGGCACCGTACAGTCTACAGCTGCAGGTCTTTTTTCACAAGTAGCCCCTGGTAGGGAATCAACCATGACCCGTTAGAGCTAGCTGGTGGATTTGCCTTGTAGAATCACTGAAACATTGAGTAACTTGAAGCTACTAGTAACAAGTGCCACGCTACTAGGAACAGGTGCATCGCTAGTAGTAACAGGTGCCTTACTAGTAGTAACAAGAAGCTACTAGTAACAAGTGCAGTCCCCGTTCTTTGGTTCGGAAAACGGTCTCCAAAAGGACCTGCAGAGCGGCCTGCAGAGCGGCCTGGGCTTAGCTAGGTGTCTGATGGCTTGAGGATCCTCCAATCTCACACTCGAAGGTGGAGACCTGCATTCCAACCCGCTGCGCATCCAAGCATTGTAGAAAATTCCAGTGCATGATGCCACTACCTGACATCGTCCAGTTGTGTGAGAACACTTTTTGGGGGACATGACATGACTTTTTGATGGGTTGCACGTCCTCAAAGAGACACCGTCCTGAGCATATACACCGTTTCTCCCTTGATTGATGACTCAAACGCAATGGCCCTCCTCGAAAAAGAAAAAACTACTCGACTATACTGGCGGCCACCATTGGACAGGAGTACTTTAGGCTCTATGTTATGCTCTTTGTTGGTCCAAAAAATATCAAAAAATGGGACCTTCGACATGCTTGCAACACCATCTAAGAACTATACTTTCAGAGAATCCAACTTCACTGTCACCAGTGTCTGGCGCTGAGCTACAGCAAGGCTTGCCCCTCTTGGATTGGTCACGATTGCCACGATGGAAAAGCTGCAACTCAGATGATTGGTGTTCTTCGTGGTGTCCTGCACATGCTGCGAGCACCACATTGTGCGGTGCTCGATCATTTCGCTTCACATGCAGGCAAAGGCCAGTCTTCTTCTCACGAAGCTGGAACACTTCAGCCGGAAGCAATCCACCGTCCAAATAGATGTAGGAAAACCGATCCAAATAGCTCGCAAAAGGAGCACAACCGAGCTTTTGCTTGAGCTGACCAAACTCACTCATGTCTCCAATAGTCTCTCCGTTCTTCGTAAACATCTCGTATTCCGGGAAGGTCATGACCTTCTCGGTAAACTCTCCGAACCACGCGGTGGCGGCACGCGCCTTGTTGCGCATCACGTCCTTGGTCGGAATGGGATACCTCAAGACCGTCTTGGGGTTCTTGGGATCCCGCCACATGTGCGCCACAAAGGCTCCGTCGGCCACCTCGATCCTGAGGACATTAATAGTGGTTCGGAAAAAAAAACAGGGAAACAAGGAAAACGCGTATTATAGAAATAGTGGATCTATTCCATATTACTTTATACATATTCATATTCTCCATATATTCCCCCCATGCCAGGGGATTCGTTTATTTGATGCGTTTCTATGCTTTTCTGTTATTCCCCATGCTAAGTGATTCATAAATCATCAAGTCCGGGAAAAAGAAAAACGTCCTCCAAAAACCGCTCAAAACCCACCCAGGAATCCGCCCGCCGCAGAGCCACGAGCGCAGGGATTGGTCAATATTTTCGCCACCCCAGGCAACCATCTTCGTGTCATAGCCGCCGGTCTCCTCCCACCAGCGTCGACTCAGGGCTAAAAGGCCACCACTCATCAATGGGGCGTCTCGACCAGGATTGTAGAGCCAGGTGAAATCGTTGTTCCACAAGATGAAGCACACCTCAGACCAGGGCACCAGTCACTGTACGAAGTCGAGAGTCCGAGAGTCCCAAAAGTTCCCCCTATACTATATATACACTTAAACTGGACTGAACTGACTGGCAGATGTAGAAAAATAACATGTCTGTTCGGCCAAGTAACCTTCCCTCCTCCTCCACCTGGAATCTCCTTCCAAGTGTCTGGATTTAAGGATGTGATGGTCGGCACTACGATGGTCCGATGATCTTGCCTGCTTGGACAAAGATAGGGGTCGTTGACCCTTGAAAGTCAGTGATGGAGAACAGCATTTAACAGTAATGTTTTGAATATTATTGAATGGTACAGTAATACGCATAAATTGAATATTCCAAATACCCAAACCATGTTCCAAATGGTCACCCAGTTGCTTTCTCTTCATCTGCTTCAGAAAAGCCATTTCCCATCCCTTCCGTGGGCTGACGTGACAGTCGAAGAACACGATGACGTCGCCAGTGGCCGCATCCTGGGCTCCCATCGGTCCGACTGCTCTTTCCGCTGTTTCAATCGATCCGTTGGCACGAGTGAACGACCCCCACCCGTTGACACCGGTGGGGAAACCAATTCCCAAAAGCGGGAGGTAACGTTGCCACTTTTCCTGGGTAGGTAATGATTGGTTGCGATGGTCTGGTGGTCTGCTTCAAAGAAAGCAAAGGTTGGCTTGTTCAGGTCAGTGCAAAAAAAACGGTTTCAAACAGCTAAAAGGTCAGTGCCAGCCCCCAGTTGCGATTTGGAGGAGAAGTCCAGTGGCAGGCAGAAATCTCGAACGACACACACTCATAGAAATGCGTACTGACTTGACAGCGGTGCCACACGCCAGCCTAAGAAGCCAACCCTGAAAAACCAGGTAAGGGGGGGGGCCTGAGCGCCGTTAGTTAAAGGCCAAAGTTCCAAAGCCACGAGGCGACGAACAGGTCGAAGTGACGGCGGTCGCTCTTGTCTGCAGAGTGCATTAGCCCTTTACGAAGACCTAAAAATTGTTGCAGGTACGTCCAGCTGGCCAAGCTGGATATCCCACCAGATTGCATAGCTTTGTTAGACACGGTCTGCAATCTGGTGCCGTGTCCCCCTGCTCTACAAAATGAAAACACGATCAGTACAATCCGAGTGGATCCCTGTGACTGCAAGGGGCCCACACACACGCACATGCTTGGACCTTCCATATAGGCAACCCAACAAGGCTTCGCCACCACATGGGATCCTCTTGCAGTCTGAAATTCTAGAAAACAATACACTATCAACAATATCCGCTCTATCTGAACAAAACAAGGAGAAGCACAGAGACTGCCCTGACTCTTGTGGATCAAAGCAAAAAATGCTTTTCAAGGTCTTCACTGGATGCCCCAAGTTCTGATTCTTTTCACTCGCCAAAAACCCCAACGAGACGAGCATCACCACCAGACTTCTTGGCAGAGATGAGGCCCAAGGTGCGTTCGTGGCGCACGATTTTCATCTTGGGAACGCCAGGACCTTGACTCAACAGCTGCTCGGACATGATCTTCCGCAGAGGTGGCCGACTACCGTCATCCACCACAATGATCTCTTTCAAGATGTTCTTATCGGTGTTCTCCTGGTCACAGGAACAAGGGAAGGCGAGTGGAGCATCTTTTATAGAATGTGTTAGACTGTTAGACCATGGATATCCCTCAACAGCGGTGTTCATCTATCAAAATCTTTGGTGGTCTAGTCGACGTACGCATATTGGGCCAAAGATCAGTTTCTCCCGAACAATACGTGCAGTCTCATCTTTTGGGTGGTCCTTTCTCCATTGAAAGCTCTTGTTTCTCCCTGAAGCTGTCTCAAAATGAGAGGTTCATGTTTCAGCAGTCCTGGGTCCCGTTGGTGTTCGGGTGCTTTTTGTGTTGAGACTCACGGACGGAAAGATTAGCAAGAGGGGTTGTCTGTTCACAACTTCGAACTGAGTCGAGCTGGTATGCATGTACACTAACATTCTATATGGCGAGTCTCAAACTGGCTGCATCCAAACCACAGGTCTGATTCTGCAGCCACTGGTCACAGGTCCTCCTGCAAATCTCCCTCTGTCTGTGGGTCATTCAACCGGGGCTGGTTGACCCCAGGTCAAATGAACAGATCCTAAAACAGGGCATCTGTTCATCCTCCCGTGGGTTTTGGACAGTTTGGGTCATATAGTCTTTCCAAAAACAGCCGACCATCAACGCGCGCACGCGCGTTAGCGCAGCGACACTCAAAGAGCCCAGACAGCCCACCAAGTGTCCCAAACAGCCCAGACCGTCTTCTCGGCAAACTCCCCCTCGAAGGCGCAGGGCAAGACCACGCTGAAGGTGGCCATCTCCACCGGCGCCTGGGAGGTGGGACTTGCACCGGGCCTCCGCGTGACCAAAAATACAAAAGTCCCAGGTGAAGTCGCAAAGTGGTGGTCCTGTACTTGTATATCTTGTATCTTGTAGTATTGAGCTTTCTGGCGTGAAAAGAGGAACAACATGGTCCCTTTCACCAGTGACCAGGGGCACGCAAAAGCTGTGACTTCATATCCTGGATACCCAGTGCCATTCAGCTCACTATGAAACTTGAATTCAACAAGGAAACAAGTAGGGGTGGTGGTTTTGGTTAACATCTCCGATTTCCACCACGAATTGGGTGCCAAGTATGGAACTATCACAGCTGCGATGACAAGCTATGGTAATTTGACATCCACGCTTGTCCAGTGGCAAGTGTCCTGACCCTTTCCCAACACAAATGCTCCTTCAGATGATACCTGGTACCTTGTGGATTTGTTCATTTGAGGCTTCCCAACAGCCGGCAGGGGAGCCCAATCTTGACACTTGGCGCCCTCCACTCATTCCTAGCGTTGCTTCCGTGCACCTCAATCTTGGGAGGCGCCGGCCGCCAGCGTAGAGCCGCCACCTCCTGAGCTGCTAAGCGTTTTCGCTCCACGTCCAGGGGCAGTGCGGCAGCGGCAGACGCCACATCGCTCTTTTCTTGCAGCAGCATAGGCCGCGGAGGTCGTGGCTCATCGTGGTCGTTTCCGAGGTGTAGCTGATGATGCAGTGCCTGGGGGGGTTTGCTCAAACTGATCCAATGGCCCAGTCCCGGACCAAAGGGAACCCACACCACCTTCGTCACACATCCGCCGCCGTAAAGGTGAGCAGCTTCGAAAGGTCGTGGCCGTGGATTTCTGGGGAAAGCAAGTGGATCATCCAAAAGAAAGCAACCGGTAAATGATTGCAAACCACGCGCCCATGGCTATCATATGGGTCCTTTCACTCCGATCACTATGAGGGTACATGAACGACGACCGCCCACGAACTGCACCCGAACTGCACCTCTGTGTAGGCCACACTCAATAGGAGTACCGTCACAATCGCGACTGCCAGAAGGGCAATGCGCAGACTTGGCACTGCGGCTGAGATGACGACACCACAGGCAGCACCCACCAAAATCATCTTCCAGCCCTCACCTGCATCACTGTCTGGTTGCAAAACAGCCACTAGAAGGGGCAACGAAACCAGAGGCAACAGCCGCAGTGCGATGGTGACCAGGATATTCTTGGGAGCTTTTCGCTTCATGGCTGGGTTTAAGCTGCGCTAGGAGCCAGTGACGAGCGCGGCTCGCAAGTCGTTCACGAGTCGTCAGAGTCGTCACAAGTCTTTGAGTCTTTGAGTCTTTGGCTTCAAGATGGAAATGGTCCACATGTTTGCACTAGTTTGCGCTACCCTTTAAAGCTTTCATATATACAGTATATTTATATACCCTTTTAGAGCTTGGTGCTTCGCATTGCTTCGCCTCATTTGGAAAACCTGGAGCCAAAAGTTCCCGGGGTGTCTGTTCTTGTTCGAACTGTCGGCTTTGGTGCCAAAAGGACACACATCCAAGTGCAGGAGGTCATCTCTCATGTTCGGGTCAACCCGAAATCAACGGATCCCTGGGCTTCCTGGCTCACTATTGATTTAGGTTTAATTATTAAACTGGCCTGAATCCCGAACCGAAGCACCATTGTTTTACTCAGGATTCTACACGAAAAAACCAGGTCCTTCCCATTTTCTTCAACATGCTCTTCTTGGACTTCTCGGAAGGCATTCGCAGATGATCTTTCACTGGCGCCCATCCTGCTCGGGTGCCCATGAGCCGAGCCCGTTGACCCTTTGGTTGAGCGAACTTGAGCTCCTCTTCAACTCGAGTGAAGCTGTGTCTTCACCTGGCCCCAAGGCCGTCACGATGTCTTCATCAGAAAAGGCTGGAAGTAGATGAGGTATCTGAGCGAGGATTTTCAGCGCTGCGCTTGCGACCCACAGCTTAGAGTTGAATTCAAGGGCTCTTTATGATTGTTTAGAGAACGTGTTGGATATCATTTCTACAGGTTTGGGACTATACTTGTAATACCACCACACTTGCCAAGAACTTCAATCATAGAGCAATGACATGTAAACACGAGCTGGCCTTCGCCACCTCGAACCGTTTGAAACAACTTTTCGAACTTTTACTTTCAGGCGTTTGTCGCTGTTATTTTTTGTTCTTTTTAGTGGTAGTGGTGGACATCATCTTCGTCATGGGTTCCCTGATATGGCTGGGATTTCTGCGACCCGCGGGGAACGTTGGTCGGGCTTCAGCTCTGCATGTGGAAACCAGCAACGTTCCATTGCCGGTGCTGCGAGGTGGTTCCAGGTGGTTTGGAGCTGCTGATGGAAGAATCCCCAAGAATCCTAAATGAATCCGTTTGAATCCATTGGACACCCCGGTGTCTACCGTCACCGTCGACCGTCACCGGCGGTGAAAATCAGAGCCGCGCCTCGCACAGAAAGCCGGAGATGAGATAGCGTGGCATGGACGAGGAGGAAGGGAACACTCATGTCCTGAAACACGTCGTCCTTTTTAGCTCGGCTTGGGGAGCTGAGCGCTGAGCGGCGCTGTGGAGTTGGCACCTGTCCGAATCCAAAGATATGAGGATATCATATGAGTGCTCGGATAAAAATCAATGAATAGTAGGGGCTCCTGGCCTTACTACTAGAAGCTAGGGACGCTACTAGGGGCTCCTGGCCTTACTACTAGAAGCAAGGGAC